AAAAAGTTGTAATTCAGAGTCAACTCGAACAGATCTGCTACTGTCCAAGTTTGTGAACAAGAAAAAACTAAAATATCTGTATATGGGCCACTCGTCAACTTAGTAAGAACTGTCACCTGATTGTACAGCATTTTAATCGCCCTCACGTCACTGGGTAGGCAGAGTTTCAGCCTAACAGTGTCAACTCTTACTTTGGTTATGTCCTTTCTTCCCTGAAAACTAAGTGCTGGAAATGAGGGTGCATGAACCAAGAACCCCTTACCAAGTTAGGGAGGCTGAGGGTCCGGGAGGGCCAGAGGTGCCTGACCTTTACGGTGCCTTCAGGCCTTTAAATAGCACGTTCACTAAGTCTCTGAATTTTCCCTATTCCTTTAGAAGCTGAACAATAATCAAAGAATCCATCTTCTCTGGAATCTGATGGGAAGTCCAGCTATCATTCCAGGGAATCAAAATGTTGAATGATGATGTCAAAATAAGAGAGGAAATAGAGATTAGATGGAGAGGGGGCAATTTTCCATAAAAAAGGCTTTATCCAGTGAAATAATAGAAGTTCAATCAAGCTGCAGATGAATACTAGCCTGACTTCACCAATCTCTCAGTTTCCCAAGGCCCCGCTCAAGAGAACTGGCTTTACTTATTACACGGTGGTGATTCATCCCATCATGCCACTCCTGAGAGAGGCTGAGGGACATTGAGGGATCATCAGCAAGGTCAGAACAGTTACCTGGGGGTTATTTGGCTGAAAATTGCTGCCAACCCCACAAAGCAAGATCATGGAAAAGTAAGGCTAAAAGTTTTAAATCAGACTTTTAAAAATAGCAACTTGGGCCCTCCCTGGTGGTGCAGCGGGTTAAAGCACAGCACTGAGCAGCTAAAGCCACTTCCGCATGAGTTCGATTCCCGCCTGCCCAGGAGGTGACCACATGGCGTGGCAGACCTCTCCTGACCCGCCCGCTGCTCCCCTCAGCAGTGTACTTCGTCTATCTGCCTGTTCTGCTCCCCACTCTGTCTCTGGTGAAACCTCTCACCGCCCCTGAGCCTCTGGCCTGTATCCCAGTTCTGTATGCACAAATAAATAAATCTTTAAAAAAAAAAAATAGCAACTTGGCGTACTGATGATCTCTGGTAGAA